TAAAAAGGATTCAACCTTCTTCCAATTTGATAACGGAGGGCGCGAACTTTTATTCTATAGAAAAGTGTGGAATGCAATTTTTAAATCTATTGTGCTTGATTTAATTACAAAATTTTTTAATTTAATTTAATGATTTGAATTCACATTATTGTGTTTGACTTAATTAAAATTTAGTAGAATTCATTTGTAATTATACACTTTATATAATATATATATTTTATTTTTAATTACATAATTGAAAGCAATTATCTCTCAACTTGTTATTCATTTCACTTTTTTTATTTTTATTAAAAAGAGATTATTATACTCCTTTTTTTTTTTTGATCAGCAAAGGAAATATTACATATTATTTTAAGGAGTACAAGGGTACTCCAACCCATATACAAAGGAAGAAAGCATGATCAGACAACACGCCCAACAGCCAATACCATTATAAAGAAATTGCAAAACTAACAAACAAAAACTTTCTACCAAGAATCCAATTCATGCCACCCACAATTTATGCTTATAGAATGTCTTCAATAGCCTTTTATGCCTTCTTACTTCTATAGCAACTTGTATTGGATTATTCTACCACTCAGAAAAGGAAAAAACACATCTTTGCATCTTAGTTTTAATCTAGAAAAAGGTCTTGGCTTGCACCATATCCACCACCCTTTCCCTAAAACTCACAAGATGCTTAAAAACTCCCATATTCCTATGGTACCAAAGATACCAAGAAACAGCAAGGAAAATACATGCTCCCATTTACTTCCCTATAATCTTACCCAAACCATGTAGAAAGAACTCTGCAACTCCTTTTATTGTATTTGATAACACATCCTCAATACCCCACCAGTGCAACACTTGCACCCAAAGAACTTCCATATCCCCAAACACTTCTTGATTCTAGCCTTTCAAAAACACTTTCAACAGTTTTAGTTTCTGCTTACATCTATGCCCTACAAACGCATCCATCTCTGATTCATTCCACTTATCTTCTACTGTTTTCTTGAAATCAGGATGCTGCTACCAAGCATCCAAAACCCTAAACGGTTTTGGCCCCCAGTCTATGATTTTTGTCTTCATAAGTATGTCACAATGATCCGATATAGTTCTTCTCAGCCTTTGCTGCACCCATTCACCTCCCATAGTAAACATCTCTTCAGTCATCAATACTCTATCTAACCTGCTCATAGAAGAACCATCTGATCTATACCATGTAAACCATCGATTTGCCAATCTAATGTCAATTAGCCTAGTTGTCTCAATAAAAGCATTAAAATCGCTCATCTCTGGATTCTCCCCTATTCTTCCCCTCTTTTCTTCAAGACATCTTACGGCATTGAAATCACTTGCAATCAACCATCGTCCTCCCTTCTCTAGAATTAGTGTCCGCATCTCCTCCCACAACTCAACCTTCTTCCTTCTATCATTTCACAAAATAACATTGCAACTTCTTTGTACCCCATTCCCCTGAAACACCCAAGAAGCCGTCACCCATAAAAACTTCCCCCTTCTCAAAATTCAACTTGTCCCTAACACAAAACAGACCTCTCGATGCTCCCGTTGACCCCTTCATAACCCAATCGAAGCCATCTGAATTCCACAATCTTCTACATAAATTACCATCAATCTCCTCTAATTTGGTCTCCTGCAAGAATAAGAAATTTGGTTTTTCCACTTTTACCAGTTTCCCCACTTCTTTCTTCTTCAATGGTCCCCCCAAACCCTTGACATTAAAAGATAAAAGCTTCATTCTAATAAGAAACCCACATCCCCAATCACCCGAACACCCTTAATTCCGTTTTAGATTCCGCCCCCTCTCCTCATCCCTATCTACTAACTCTAACAACCTAGACTCAACCTCCTCTTCATTTCCTTGCATTTCAATACCCAACCTTTTCCCCACTCTCATCATCTTCCTCACCTCATGCAAATTAAGTTCTCTTTGAATTACCTGGTTTCTATGCATAATACATCCATAAGAAAGAGACATGCTGCCAACTCGCTCCACTGTTTTCGTTGTAGCCTTTCGAGCCATCTCTCTTCTCCCTTGCCGTAGCTTTGTTCTGGCTGTCACCAACTGCCCCCACTCCGCCCAGATTTTTGCTAACTCCTTCTATTTTCCTGTGCCTTTTACCCATCAAATCCCCTCTATCAATCTCCCGGACAGATGCTAGCTGTCCCACATTATCCTCATCGGGCCTATTTTCTTTACTGCTCCTGACCATCCCACTTGGGTTGGCTACCAGCCCATCATACTCCTTCAACCCATCACACTTATCCACTACCGGCCCACAATCCATAAATAATCCATGTTCGTCATCAACCCGAGAAATTGCCTTGCACTCCAAATTGAAGCCACTGTTACCATCATTTTCGGCCGTTTCGTTTACATTCAAAAAGCCTTCCTTCCTTGACTGCATATCCTCAATACTATCAACCTCAT